TTTTCTTCTCTCTCATTTGGAACTGAGACTCAGGAAAGCACTTAAGCTCAGGAACAAGCAAGACCATACTGTATTTTGGAGCATATGAGATTCAAAATAAAGAAAACCAGTGACCACTAACTTTGAGCCACAGCTCCTATTTTAGCAACACCAAGTTTAAACCCCATGGATAATAATTGAGATAATGGGACTCAAGTATTTTTTTGTCAGGATCTGTGAAAGAGTGAGTTGCTTATATATATCTATATATTGATATTCTGTTTCATTTTGCCTCAGAATTATTTAGTATGTGTTTTAACAGTAGCAGAAGGTTATTTTGGACACCTGTCTTTTTGTGTTAGATTAAAAATGACTTAGTTTAAACTGATCCTAGGAACAGTTTTCACTTATTAAACATTTTAATCATATCACACAGGATTAAATAAGATTTAATTTTTTTATCAAAAGAAAATGAAAAGTTATGTTAGAATCATAGAGCAGTAGGCCTGGAAGGGGCCACAAGAAGTCAGCTACTTCAACCCCCTACCTGAGTCAGGATTATTCCTATCCAAGTCATCCTATACAAATCCATTGTGTAACCTCTTACAAGAATTACACAGCCAACCCTGACACAACATATATATTAGCTTCAGCTGACCACAACCCCCTGGGAGCAGTTGTGAGTTTTCTCATGTGGGAACAGTATTAGAAGTGTCCCTAGGATATAAATACTTCATATAAGTTTTATATAAACCTTTATGTACAGCATATAAAAGACTACTGGCATAGATTGTCTACAGTGGGTCAAAAGGGAAGCTGCAGGTTCTCTACAGCTCTGAAAGTCAAGTCTCTTTAACTCTGTAATCTAAATGTAGATTTTAGTGACTAACTGGTCCCCCACTACTTGTTTTGCATTAAGACTTGTCACTAATAGAACAGTCATCTACCTCCTGTTTCTGGGCTTCCTGCTTGGCCTGTGTCATGCAGGAAGCTGGAACGGATCATCATAACAATCCCTTCTGACCATAGGATTTATGAATTCAAAAAAATAAGAATCCTTTTTAAAGTGGCCTTGACAAATAGCTTTATTAATTAAGCACCAGATTGTGCTTGGCTAAAACCAGAGAGGACAAAAGTCTCTCATTTAGCTTGAGTTTTCTCTGACAAGTTTGCCCTCATCACAGAACTAACTAGGGCTCTATCTCTCAAATGTGAAGGGTGCAACCAGAACTGGAAGTTGGGAGAGTTGGGGACACAATCAAAGGAGAATTTTAAGATTTCAGACTGCGAAGTTAGAGGATTTCTAGGTGGTAAATAAACCATGTTAGTACATATTAAAAGAGGTATGTCGTCTCTAAACTGAACATACTAGTATGAGTTAATTAGCACACTCTAATAACAGATCTTTAATTCTTGTTTACACAAGCCCTGAGTGAACTAAGGGGAATATAAGATGGGGTCATTTATATCTTTTTTCAGACCTGGCTGTATAAGTTTCTATAGTTTAATTCTCAGGTTTCAAGTTTCACTTACAAAAATCCCCCTTTCGTTTGCTTAGACCATTCAGAAAGGTAATTTAGATCTATAGTAAGGCCCCTTCACATCTCCAGAGTGAATGAAATAGATCAAGGCCTCAGACTTGTTTCGATTCATATCAGTTGCATGCATATCTTAGGCTGCTACACATTACCTTCGAATTCTGTCCACTGTGCTGAGTGAATGGAAACCTAGGCTAGAGTAATTTTTACACCAAAGGTGTGGGGAAATGGTGATGTAGGATTGAAAGCAAATAACAGGAGGAGACAGACTTGAACCAAATCTCTCAATCTGAACACTACTGGATTTGGAGAAGGGATGGATCTTTTTTTTTCAAAAGGCCCCTCCATCCAGTATCCAAACCCAAGCTCCAAGTGCCAGCAGACTTTCACATACCCAACACTCATAACTGGAATCAAAAGTTGCAATGTATACTGTACTCGTAATTCTGGACATTATTTCTTTTAAATTCATTTTAACTGTAGGATGATGCCCATCTATATAAATAATGTTCAGGCATCTTATCTAGTTTTAACCCTCCTAGTTGGACATTTCTTTTAATGAAAAGCCAGCCTGATAATGTTGGCTGACTAACATGTTGGCTAAAAATTGGTGACAAGAGTTGACCGTCATTACATCTATTAACATACTGTCTACTAACAAAACTGAACTAAATTGCCCTTCATTGTCAAATTCAGCTGATAGTGGAAAACAAGATCAATTTGACACTGGAAATATCTTCTTTCTAAAACCAGCAGATTCTTTATTTGTGCAGTGTCTAAACACTGCAAATCTCAGCAGAAAATTGCACTGAAACAGTGGGCGGTTCCATTCTGTTGGAAACTTTACAATGGCTTTTATGTTTAAATATCATTTAGCAGCTGTTAAAGGTCAGCACAAATCCTCTTCTTTGCTAGTATAGATAGTGTCTAAACCTGCCAAGAAAAGAACGCATTAAATTATGTGGTAATTATTTTCTTGTTTTTTTCCCCTTAGAAATGAACAGGAACTCTTAAGTGTATCCAATTTTTTTTCTGATTTCAAACTGACAAAGTAACACACTAATTAAATTATTTGTACTAGAAATTTACTTACAGGGATGACACATTTGTACACAAAGCAAGCAAAACATCTGACACATTGTACAGTGCCAGGTGCAGTTAAGAATGTGTAATGCAGATTTGTCATCAGAAGGCTCAAAAAAAAAAAAAAGAAAAGAAAAAAAAAGGAGCCCACCAAAGAAACTTGAAGACATGTTTCATTATCAATTTTATTTCCTACCATACACCAAATGTACAGCACAGAACACAATTTTGTTGTTTTGATGTAAGAAATATTAATTGTATGAAGAAACAGTATACAAACTACTTCAAATTAAAAAATGCATACATCATTGCCTTTTACAAAAGGTCTAATTTACAGTATATCTCATTGATGCAATTTAACACAAAAAAAAGAAAAAAGAAAAAAATCAGTGCACATTACAAAACACATCAAGTACAAAGGAGGCAAATAAATACAAACATACTCCACAAAACATCCTGAGCAAACAATCCAAACACAGATAAATTAACCTGAAGCCATAGTAAATCATAGTAATAAATAGATAGTAAGAGAATTTTTTTACTTAAATTAAATAAAATATATAACAAATTTGTTAAAATATTTAGTAAATTAAATTTCAGTCTTTGTAATGAGTGAATTCATTTTGTATGCATTTAACAAGTATAGCAAATGTTTGCCTTTTTTTTTAGCAAGTACAATAACTTTAATAGCAAATTTTTGTTTGGTGTCCTCCTATTTATATTAGACAGCACGTATGGTAGCTTTTGAAAAACCAATTAAAAAATAAACACAGCTCCTAAGAACATACATCTTCTCCTGTCTAAACTAGGATTAGAGGGTCAAGCCAACCCTCCAATAAAAAGCAAGCCCCACCTAATGTAGAACAGTGACCACAGTGCATGAGAGTTGAATCACCTTTGAATAGTACTTTTTGTGCAGAAACAGTAATAATATAATTGTATATGTCAAGCTTGTGAATGCCATCATATTCAATCTAAATATAAATGAGGCTAATAAAAATAAACACTTTCATTGTAGCACAGAAAAATTAAACACACGCTAGATCCATGTATACATTTACACTGAGGCACATATGCACATGAGCTGTGTGTGCATACCAAAAAGGCAGTTTAGCTGGTTGTTTATACCTTTTGTTAAAAAAAATAAATATAAAAAAAATTTGAAACAATGCTTAATTACTTACAATCCCTGAAATAGACATTGCCTCTGTTATAGCAACTACTAAACTCTGATTGATTCAGAAATTCAAAACCCAGGCTAACTGAATTACAGAGGCACATACAGGTACCTTTGTACATGCGTGTGTCTGTGTGTGTCATTATGTACTGTAGCACTTGGTATCCTACTGAAAGACTGGTAACAAATTCAATATCGAAGTAGTCTTAGTGTTTAAAGAGGGGAAAACCAATCAGTGTGTTGCTAGAATGGTTGCTTTTCTCTCAGCACCCATAGTTACACTGGAGTATTACTTTCTTCCAGGTTGTGGCCTTCTCAGCTTTCCTCAATTCAAACTACATGTCATTTCAAGGGAGATTTGTTGGATAACTTAGTATGTACAAAATCTTCAGCTTGGGATGTGCTTGAATTTTTCAAATACAAATTCACATTGATATAGGTCCCTTGTCTAATGTAACAACATACTGTACTAAAGAAATACCAGTCATACCAAATCAGCTTTCTTGTTTAGGGATACGTCCTTTCTCTCTCGGAACTAACTTGAAAAGAACCTGCATCGTTACAAGAATTCGGAAATTCTTTTGAAATACTTGAAATAATTATCTGAGTAGGCTAAAACACACAGCCAAGTCAAATGCTTTGCTGATTGCTATATTTCATTATTGCTAACAAATCCTTTGACACACTTGTTTTCCAGCATACTGTGCTTTAAGAGCCCAGGTTCCCCACTAGTGGGCACCATTTATCTTTTCATTCCTTGCTTCTTCACTTCTCATGTTACTGCAAACCCCTTTCTGATACAAAGCCATTATAAAAAAGCAGGATGTGATGAAAATAAAACTAGAACCACAGTTCAGTCATTTGTTACTTTCATAGTTTTTTTTTTCTTCCTGTACAAATCCAGCAAGATATTTAATTTACAGAATAACTTTCAATCTATTTAAAATCCCATTGGAAAATAAATTAATAAACACATTTGTAAAAATATGGCAGGCCGCAAAAATGCTGTTAAAAGATAAAAAAAAACAACTCTTTGATTAGAAATAAATAAAAAATATAAAAAATAGTTGCACACACTTTTTACATTCACTTTACAAAAACTGAGTGCAAAAGAAGAAAAACAAAAGAATTGTACTGAAATAAATACAATATACTAACAGAGTGCATTGCTGTTAATACAAATAGTCTGTTGTGTTTTCCTTCCTTTTTTATGTCAGCTGGGAAAAAAATAGTGCAATGTTGCAATTGTAAATGCAGCACGGCAACCTACACCCCTTAGCAGTACATGAACTCCTAACAGATCCATCTGGAGTTTACTGCTGTTAAGTAATTTCTGTTGCCCGGCAGCTTTCACATCCTACACATGGATGCCCTTCACTGCCTGTTTGATACTTTCCAGCAGAGCTTTGCATTCCGGGGAATAGTCCCGTTCCAGATTGCTGTACATGTCTGTGAGTGTATTTACATATGCTTCAAAGTTCTGCTCACTGATTGGCCCCTAAATGAAGACAAAACATATTCACTAATTGCAGGAGCAAAAATTAAGGCCAACCCCCCCCAAACCTATGTAAAAGGAGGTTGCTAAGTGGTAATATGGCAAACCTGTCTGCAAGCAAGAGGGGAAAGCTGAGGTGATAGGCACAGCAGACATTTAACTTACTGATGAGATTGTTGGAGGTGAAGGCATTTTTATGTGTTGAGAACCACATACTCTCCCACAAAGGAGGGGGTGGAAGATGTTTGCCTTTAGTATGCTCTGTTTTTTAATTCTGGTCAAATTCTGCTTGCAAACATCAAGGAGGTGTTCTCACTGAGGTCCACAGGACTGTGTACATCAGTAAGGTGAGCTGGATTTGCATCTTCATGGAACAATGCTGTTGTTGGCTCAAGAATAAAGCACAACATTTGTACATTGGATAAAAGAGTCTAGGTCTTTTAGGAGCAAATGGAAAATAAGAATCCTATGCAAATTTCTATACAATTGATAAGGCTAATTTCTAGATGGGTGGACATTAGGCTGTGAAGACACAGAGGGGAAGTCAACACTACACAATGCAGTGTCTGAGCTAGCAATCTAGTGCATGCATCCAAAGTAGCATAGCCACATCAGCGTGGATTTCTGAGTGGGTTAATTTATCCTGTTTCTTAGCAAATTAAATTAGCCTGGGTGGAACGCAATCTATTTAGAGGTAGTTCTGGTATCATTACATGTCCTGCTTTATGCCATGCAAACATACCCAGGAATAGGAAGTAAAAGAATGCACATACATATGTAGAGACCTACTTAATTCATGGCCAGACAAAAGGATTTTCACAGCTTGGTTGCAGTACAAAGAGCTGATTTTGTAGGCATTTCCTGGTGGCTGTGCCCCGCTCTGCTGATTGGCGGAGAGGCCCCTGAGAGGGAGGAGAAGAGTGGGTCGCCACCATCTTGGCTGCTGGCTATCCTTTGTGCTGCCATACCAGCAAGCACCTTCCTCTCCTGGACAGGCTACATAGCAGCGAGGACCACTCACTCCCACTGGGGAGCCAGGATTTTATTTTTATTAGGTTTTTTAAAGTTGATTTCATGGACAATTGAGGATTTTGTGGTTTCCGCGAAATCATGAATCAAGTAGGTCCCTATTATAGAGCTCTTAAGACCCTAATTCAGCAAGGTAATATTAGCCTGTCCCTAACTTCAAACACGTTCATATTTCCACTGACATGCTGCATGTTGGGTAGTAGCTATAGCACGTTATTGATTTAAGGTGCCAGAGTTCAAATTTTTGTTAACTTCAGAGAAGAGATTTTTTCCATTCTTAGACAAGAGCAGAAACTGATCTCCTAGCCTGTTTGTAACTGTATGATTGCACTCTGAAGTGTAGGACTTGATGAGCAGGGATTCCTGGTTTTGTCTGTTTAAAAATAGCAAATTCCCTGATAATAAAAGCCCCAAATCCATGTTTTTACAAGATTAAAATTAAAGGTCACTAATATATGTATATGTATATGTATATGTATATATATATGTATATGTATATGTATATATATATGTATATGTATATGTATATATATATGTATATGTATATGTATGTATCAGTTGAACACAATGTTTTAATGATATATTTACAATTTTAAAGCAATTTGGAAGTCTACCAGTGCCTCAGTCTCCATAACAAAATAAACTCTAGATACCTATACATTTTTGGCATTTCATTTTGGTTTTTTGTTTTGGAAAATCAGAGTTCCCCTTGCCCCCTTTGCTCAGCAGCATGTAGATACAGCTGTGGTTGTCCTCCCACTGCTTTGTGGTGCTGAGCAGCCCTGATATGCTGGTGTGCTGCCCGTGCCATTATCCCTCATTCCCAACCCACAGCCCCCTGGCCCTGCTGGTGCCCCTCACTCCTAACCCACATCCCTAACTGTGCCCCTCACTCCCAACTCAGCCCCCTCATCGCCCCCTGGATGAGCTGCCCACAGCTCCATCCCATTCCCTGCCTGTGCTGCATGGCTGCACAGGCCCCATTCCTGCCCCAGGCCCCATGCACTGCCCCAGCTGGGCAGCAACCCCAGCCTGAGCCCTGCTTACCTCCCTTCCCCACTATGGGGCCCTTAATCCCCACCCCAGATTTACCTTCAGGGAGCTGCAGGAGCTGCTCATCATCAGGCTGCCTGGCTGCCATGTGCATGTGTGTGGGCGCACATGCAGGTGTCACCCTGGCCTGACTGCTCTTCTCCCATTGCCCCCAGCCCATTGCAAGCTGAAACTCTGCTGGCCTGCAAGGGGAAACTTGCTGTTTCACATGATTTTTTTTTTTCCTTTGAAAGGACAAAATCCTACTTTTTCTCCTAAAAAAGAGAAAATTTGAGTTTTTCTCCTTAAAATGAGAACATCTGGATTTTACAATGTTTTGCTGTGGTGAATGGAAAACCTGGATCCCTGTTGAGTGTTAATAAATTCCTTGTCAGAGATCTAAATGAATAAGATGCTAATATTCAATTTAAAGAGAACTGAGCAGACTCATCACCTTACAGGAACACTCACAGGATCAAGCTAAAGATCCCATTTACCCTAGAAAATGTTGGGCCTCTTTTCCAGCATTGGTGCAGTAGTATTGGTGTTAAAAGCTCACATAGACAGAACTTAGAGCATATTCAACTTTAGGCATTGTAAATCTGTTCAAAGCGGGTTATCATGATGTGTTCACTATGTTAAGTGGTCCCATTTTCATGATAAAAGAACACCCCTGCGTCCTGTCTATAGTACAGTCTGTTCAAAGCAGGAAATCTGTTCAAAGCAGATTATCATGATGTGTTCACTATGTTAAGTGGTCTCATTATCATGATAAAAGAACACCACTGAGTCCCGTCTAAGCCATTATTTACACCATTGCAGGCAAGGATTCAAGATTTTCTAGTGTAGAGGCACTCCTGCAGCACCAGACAGACTCATAGAATCACAGAAAATTTGGGTTGGAAGGGACCTCAGGAGGTCATCTAGTTCAACCCCCTTTTCAAAGCAGGCCATCCTCAACTAGATCATCCCAGCCAGAGCTTTGTCTAGCCAGGTCTTAAAAATCTCCAAGGATGGAGATTATACCACTTCTCTGGGTAACCAGTTCCAGTGTTTTACTACCCTCCCAGTGAGAAAATTCTTCCTAATATCTAACCTCAGCTTCCCTTGCTGCAACTCAACACCATTGCTCCTTGTTCTGTCATCTGCCACCACTGAGCAGTCTAGCTCTGTCCTCTTTTGAACCAACCTTTAGGTAGTTAAAGGCTGCTATTAAATCCCCTTTTAGCATGGCTACTCTTCCCCCACCCCAGCTTGGTGTCATCTGCAAACTTGCTGAGGGTCTGTATCATCTTCCAGGTTGTTGATAAAGACAGTGAACAAAACTTGCCCCAGGGCTGACCCCTTCAGGCACTCCACATGATACCAGTTGACAACTGGACATTGAGCTATTGATTATTGCCCTCTGAACCTGATGCTCCAGCCAGTTTTCTATCCACCTTACAGTCCATTCATCCAACCTGTACGTCCTTAGCTTGCCTCAGAGCATGTTGTGGGAGACCATATTAAAAGCCTTGCTAAATCAAGGTATACCATATCCGCTGGTCTCCCTGCATCTACAGAGCCAGTCATCTCTTCATAGAAGGCAATTAGGTTAGTCAGGCCCCTGGTGAATCCATGCTGACTGTTCCGAATCACCTTCTTCTCTTCCAAGTGTTTAGAAATGCATTCCTTGAGGATCTGCTCCATGATTTTTCCAGGGACTGAGGTGAGGCTGATTGGTCTGTAGTTCCCTGGATCCTCTTTTTTCCCTTTCTTTAATATGGGCACTATGTTTGCCCCTTTTGCAATCATCCAGGACCTCTCCTGATAGCCATGAGTTTTCAAAGATGATGGCCAGTGGCTCAGCCAACTCCCCTAGCACCTTTGGGTGTATCCCATCTGGCCCCATGGACTTGTATATATCCAGCTTTTCTAAATAGTCCCACTTTTGACTGCTCACCGCCTCCCCAGACTGTGCTGCCTGGTGCAGTAGTTTGGGAGCTGACTTTGCCTGTGAATACTGAGGCAAAAAAGACATTGAGTACTTCAGCCTTTTCTGCATCCTCTGTCACTAGGTTGCCTCTCCCATTCAGTAAGGGACCCACACTTTCCCTGATCCTCCTCTTGCTACTGACATACTTGTAGCAACCCTTCTTGTTACCCTTCACATCTGTTGTTAGCTGCAACTCCAACTGCACTTTGGCTTTTCTGACTTCATCCCTGCCTGCCCAAGCAGTGCTCTTATACTCCTTCCTAGTTATTCATCCAAGTTTCCACTTCTTATAAGCTTCCTTTTTATGACTGAATTTACTGAAGAGTTTCCGCTAAGCCAAGCTGGTCTTCTGCCATATTTGTTAATCTTCCTGCACGTCGGGATGGTTTATTCCTGCACTCTCAGTAAGTCTTCTTTAAAGTACAGCCAGCAATTCTGGACTCCTCTCCCCCTCAGTCTGGCTTCCCAGGGGATCCTGCCCATGAGTTCCCTGAGTGAGTCAAAGTCTGCTTTTCTGACATCCAGGGTCCTTACTCTGCTGCTCTCTATTCTGCCTTTCCTCAAGATCCTGCACTCAAATCATCCCGGGGTCACCGCTGCCAAAGTTGCTATCCACTACTACATTCCCCAGCAATTCTGCCCTGTTTGTGAGCAGCAGGTCAAGAAGAGCATGGCCATTAGTTGGCTACTCCAGCACTTACACCAGGAAGTTGATCCCAACACTCTCCAAAAACTTCCTGGATTGCCTGCACACTGCTTTATTGCCCTCCTTGCAGATGTCAGGGTGATAGAAGTCTCCCATGAGAATCTGTTACCTGGTGCTGAAAGGAGTGGATAGGAAAACCTAGTTAAGTCACTTTTCCCCTTCCTTGATTCTTGGACAGGGGTCAACCAGTCCTGAAATAGCCTTAGGCACTATCAGGGCTGTTAAAAGCTATACAAACTATAACACCCTGTAGGGTCTACTCCACAATGCTTATGAATTCCTGCTATATACACTAAACTGTGACTCTAGACTGTCCAGGAACACTATGCCTTGAGTTGGAAGCATATGCATTCTGCCTAGTATCAGGAAAAAACCTGGCTGACTAAACAGGGATGTTTGTTCATTGACCATTGGAATAAGACAGTCAGACTGACTGTACACAGCACATGGAACAGTCAGCTGAGTTGGATCCTTCTTCATAAGCCAGACATGCAAGATTTTACATCCCCAGTTATGAACATCAGAGGCATGCAGTATTGCTTGATTTTACCTATCCCTTATTGTTCACATAGGGATACAAGGAAGAAGAAGGAAGATATAGTATGGCCACTGGATTAATATGATCCCTTCAATTGCCTACTGCTTTGGCATGGTTCAGGTATTAATGAAAATGCACAAGTTGTATTGAGGGAAAGCAGGTCAATTTCTGATGCTTTATGTTGTTCCATGTTACAGTGCCTTGAAGTAAAAGGGTTTCCAGGGGAGAACACTTTGCCACATCTATATTTAGCTTTACCCTTAAGGATAGAAGACTATGCCTTCTCCTTGGGAGTAGTAAAAATCCAAACACTGCCTTTGAATGGAATTCCACAGGACAAATTAAGCTCTGGAGTAAGAGAATGCATCTTCTTTGTGACCTCCTCCCACTAGGATGAATCCTGCTCTTTCCACCATTCAGATTCGGTGCTGATAATATTCCAGATCCTAAGCGCTTATGATATCTTACTGTTCACTTGTACAGAGTGCAGGGAAGTGAAATGCAGGGAAATTGTTTAAAACCCTAGAGGGCTGCCCTCTGCCTGATGGCAAGGCATGCAGAATCAGCCCTGGCCAAAAATACAGACAAAATCTCAAAGAGGTCACAAAGTTTCTGGCTATGGACTCACCATTTGTGGAAGCTGAATGTCGGCAAGGCTGGAAATGAGGGCTTGGCTTAGGCCAGCTAACTCCTTCAACAGGCTCTCATTATTCTGCTCTATAAGTTTGTTCTCTTCTTCTATTGTTTTCAAATTGCTCTCCATAGATGTGATCTAAAATCACACACACAAAAACCTTGACATAATTATAAGTGAAGTCTGAACACAAAACAAAAGGTTCCTTTAGGAAGGGACCGTATAATGCTGTAAAAGATTTGAACCTCAGGTGCCTTCCTAAAACACATGGCTAATGTTGCCACAAGATACCTGTGGTACAAGATAAGTCATAGGGTTTTTGGTTGTAACCGTATTGGTCTAAGGACATAAGCAGGCAAGATTCTTTGGATAGATGTGATATCTTTTATTAGATATTAGATTACACTCAGTTGGTCTAACAAAAGATATCACATCTACCCAAAGAACCTTGCCTGCCAAGATAAGTCACATTCATTTGAACCAGTGGACTCTGCTGTTGTTTTAAAAGAAAAATGAAGCTCTCATCTGTGGTCCTGCTGAGTGAGGAGGGCATTGTGTGGGGAAGATGAGTTTGGAAATGGATTAAAGACCCCAGGCCTCAATCTGCTGGGGAGGGGGAAGGGTTGAGAATGGGGAACGTGGCCTCAGGGCTGGGGGAAAGAAGGCTAATGTTTGCATTGAGCTCCTCTTGTTACAGCATCCCTGCTGGTTCACTATAGTAGCAGCAGCACTGGTATTAGCTCTTGTGCTACTTTCTTGCCCTCCTTCCCCATGGAAGTTAGAACTCTGAATTGATTAGAGTTAGAAATAGGGCAGGGCAGGGAAACAACATGACAAAATATACTGGGTAGGAAACAGAAGCTGTGTGTACAACAGATACAACCATGCAGGCAAGCAATGGGCAAGAAGACGGAAACATATTTTTAAGGACCAACTGAAAAGCATCTCTGTTAGAAAAATGGTATCTTTTTTTTTGGAGAGGAAACCAATGAGAATGATGGGGACTGTCATGTAGTTATTTGTGCAAGTTCATATGTCAAAAGCTGTGCTGAGAAACTGAAGTCAAAGATATTTGGGCCTGATTCTCTATCACCTGCTTTTTTGTACGTTAATTTACATGTGTAAGGCACGGATATAAAATAGTACCCCCAGCATGAGAGGAGAATTTTGAATTGCTAACAATTCAACAGCTGCAAAAGGCTGTAGAACAGAACAATGAAGAATTAGGCCCACTGAATGTATGCACTACTCAGAAGAGGACTGCACTGGCTCTGTGCACTGTATTGATTTTTACCTGCTCTGCAATCTTTCTGGCGGCAACCAGATTAGCTCTTTTGGGTATCCTATTTTAAGGTGCCTTTATGGCTGTGTAAAAAAATTGCAGACACATGACATAAGCTCCTATACTACTACAATCTAATATAGAGTTACTGCAGGAAAGAAAACAGGAAACATACACTAGTGTAAGTATTGTGTATCTCCAGTTATCTCAGGGTAATGGTTTCCTCAATGCAGAGAGGCCATGGCATGCTTCCTTGTCTCCTCATGCCAAGGTACTATAATACCACCCAATGTAGCAGCTACCCTGTGATAACTGGTAATCTGTCCACTGTCTACCCAATGCAGTTTACATTGTGATGCAAAGTTGATGGAAATTATGTTAGTATTAATATGTCATGTGTCCAGGCTTGGATGAAGCAACATTAAAGGTCACTGTTCAATCCTCACTGTTGGCCAGGCAAACTTAAGAGGGTTGGGGAAAAACATCCAAGTGGTTTGCTGATTCAATAATTTTCTAATTCAGGCTCTCACAGACCCCCAATTAGATATTATAGCTACCTTGCAGAAACCCTGGGATAAGACATGCCAGCTAATCTGGGTGCTTATACAGGTCTGGAGAATCAGTACCTGTTAGAACAGACCTAAGTTGAAATGGGAACCATGTTTGAGGGGACTGAGAGGCTGGCTACAGGCCTTGATGCAAATGGCTATTCCTACTAACCCCACAGATTTCCTGCATAATGCCAGTTCACTCAGCTGTATCACAGGTCATATGACTTTCATTAATAAGGAATACCACACAAGCATAAATGAAGTTACTATAAAAATAGCACCCAACCTATCATTGTACACAGTTGAATGCTTACTGTAAATTTAGAAGGGAAAGATAAATTGAGTTTTTCCTGGATTAGTTTGGAGTCATTCTTATTTTTGGGGTCTGTTACTTTTTTAGGAATTTCTCCCTAAAATCTTAATGCTTCTAATCTTTTGAAGCAAGTATCTAATTTCACGTAATTTACTGGGTGAATGAGAAGCACAGGCCTGTGTTCCAGTGTACGTATACATACTCAGCTCACCCTTAAATATGGAGCTGCAATCAGCATCTCAAGGATAAATTTACTCTCACACATACTGAAACAATGCAAAAAATGATAAGAAGTCTACCTTTCCAATATCTCCTAACAGATCTAATACACTTAACAGATTAGCAAAATGCACCTGTTGTCTGATAAGTATTATATAGGGACAAAATACAAAGTATTTAAATAACCGGTTGTAATGAACAGAACTAGGAAGAAACTATTAAAATAACAACAGAAACAGCACTAAAAATTAAGATTCCCTTGCAATAATAGTTAAGGGTCTTAATAAGAAATTAAAGTCTCATGGCCTAATGGCTTCATTACCGTATTATAAAGCTTCTCTTTATGGGTTCTTAGAACACTTGCAGATTATTGTGTGAAGGAGAATAATCAGAAGTGTAATCTACAAAATGAAGTGCATATTTTATATGGTCAATGTGATTTCCTTGTTTGCTAAGATTAGTTCATGTTATTCATGCTGCAAATCTTTTATATCAGTACTAGTGTACTTGTCGTTTCTTTAAAGTGGAAGGACTTGATAAAAATGGTATAGATGATAAAACACTGATCATAAAGGTACAGGTATTGTATTTAGATTGACATAACTAGGATTAGGCCGATCTAAATACCCATCTATGGGCCTGTACATGTTCGGAGCACAGCCCCAGGGCTGGGAGAGCTCAGCCACTTGCCCCAACCCCAGGGCTGTGCTCTTCCTACTCCTCCAACTTTGACTGGGCTATTTTTAACCCCCTGAGTTCCACAAACCCCGACAGACAACCTTCCCACCCACAGACCTGCAAGCCCCACCAGCCCCATCAACACCCCCTGAAGACCCTCTAGCCCCCTTCCCTCCCTGCACCCTGAGTTACTTACTCTCATTTCTCTGTGCATCTCCCAGGACTGCTGAATGGCTGTACATACTGCTCTTGATCAACGTTTATGCAGCTTAAAGTAAGCCACATGAACACAGACCAGGTACGCCAAGTACAACAAATGCTCAAAAATGTACATGCATGTACATCCATATACATAAATATAACACATATATACATTAAAACTGATCAAAGTGTTTGCTTGTTGTTATACCTGGGTTTGAAGTTTCATCATGTCGGCTTCAATTTTAAGATTGGATTCATTCAATTCTTTTATTTCCTCATCCAAGTGTCTGATTTCCTCATCACTCTCTACACCTGCAAAGAGTTGAATGGATCAAATCATGTTTAAAATGTGCATGTATGAAAACACGGACAAGTAATAACCCATGGATACCTGTGTACTGAACTACACAAGAGAAAAGAAGTAAGCTTTTAGATTAAAACAGTGATCTTGAAATTCTTTTCACCAATGTTTTACTGTCAAAGCTGCCACCTACATGTAAATATACACAAACAGGAAGCTGATCAAGAAACAAAGGGTATTTTGAGCTTTGGAATTACTGTATTTCTCAATGGAAAGGAGAATTTTTTATTCAGTTAATCAAGCAACTATAGCTAACAAAGCAGGGAAAGGATCAGGGTTGTCAGAAGTATTTTATTGAAAGAGGAAAATATAAAACACAACATTAAAAATATGTGCTTTATATTAAATTCTTAGTGAAGGTTTTTTTAAATTAAAAAAAGAAAAGTAGCAATTCACCCCATCCACCCCCACTGTCTTTAATAAGTTATGACACCAGCTGGTAATCTACCTCTGATACTGCATGGAGCTATGTATAGGCACACCCAAACCCCTGGGTCACAGTTTTGGTTTAGTGTGATAAACAGTGAGATATACCAGAAAACTATTGTAAAGGGGAAATTGTTGAGAAGACAAATAAGGCATCACAGAGAAAAAATAGGAGTGATAAGTGCTCTCTATGCCCTCCAATTAAGTGACAGACAACCCCCGATATCGTCAATAAGAGCATTATCCTTAGAGGTACTGAGCATCTACCGTTTCCAGTGATAATTCTTTTTCCTGACATTTCTGCTTACAGGTAATTATTATTGTAACACCTAGAGGTATGTTCATTGCTTTGTTGTAGACACAGTATAATGGGGGTGGAGATCTTAGTTAGAAAGAGCTCACGGTCTAAACAGATAACAGGGATGGAAGATTTGTCAGGCAGAACTGCCCCAAAATGCCTGTGGTTATGTAATAGGTTAGTGCAACAGAATTAGGAAAAAAATCCAAGTGTCTTGAGTGTTAGTCATGCCCTACTCCCTAAATCATGCTACCAAAGGAAGCAGAATCATGTCTCTAAGTTTATCTGATAGATGATCTTTTACTTTTAAAGGGTGTGTGTTGAGGGGGATTGCCAAAATACCTATAGCGATGGAGCAATGTTAGATTACCTATAGAGATGCAGCAATGTTAGATTACAATGGGCATATCTACATGTACTATTAATATGACTGAATAAACTCTGATGCAGTTCACACCAGAGTTTATTGATTCTGAGTGCCACATTTACATGTGCACCTGGGACTGCAGTATGTTCAGCCAGGGCGGAGCAGCCCTGGCTGGCATGGGGTCTAGAGGGTCAGTCTGCCAGCCTGAGGCTGTGGCATGAGGGTACTCCCATGCAGGGTGAGCCAGTAGACAGTCCCTGCACTAAAGCACTCTTATGCCCCAGCCAGCCATGTCAGCATCTACATGTGCATTGCTGCACACTAAATAATGCTGTCATAGGTTAGTACTTGTGTTCACAACTACTAACCTATGGAGGCCTTTATTAGTTCACTGCAGCCTAATAGGACCACATATCTAGGTGCACAGACTTTACCGCAGAGCTAATTTGTAGGGGTGTGTGAAATGGGCCATATTCAATTAATTGATTTTGATCACTGTCCCCGATTCGATTTGGCCAGATCCGAATCTAAAGATTCAATGCTGATTCAGAGAATCAGTGATTCAGCCATAGACACAGATTTAAATGTTTTTTCTACATACCTTGTGGTACCAGGCACAGCTCATGAACGCTGCAATGCTGGGGTGGATGGAGTGTCCCACAGGAGTGCAGCCCCCCCCCCACCAGCGCACCTCTCCACCTCGAGCGCAGC